TTGAGATGTGATTTCAAAAGAAAAAAATACATTACATCTGTAAGATGATGTAAAACAATTTCAATCTGATGGTTCTTATCTTGTACCAACTTCACAGGTGGACAGAGTTTTTGATCCTGATTTCAAGAAGGCATAATATGCCATACACTGACTTTGCCAAAGCTAAGTTATTTCAATAAAAACTAATATCTTCATGGTTGTCTTTGAGAATGACAGTTTATCCGATTAAATCATTATTGACTCAGTTTTTGAGTTTTTGAGAAGCGTGCTTATAGGACATCCAGATAATTTGCCCCTCTTTTCAGCACAGCAAGTGTTGTACAAGCATCGCGAAATCACTTTACATGATATATCATCCGAATAGTATTTAAATGAAATGCAAGGAATCACGGGCGGTTGGACTATAAATTTGATAGCTCTAGTGTTTCCTTTTTGTTCTAAAAGCGATTACTCATATAATTACCTATTCGCTTGAAAATGGGTTAGTCCTTAAAATTTGGAAAGCCGCATGCGTTAGGCCTTTTGCTAAAATTGATGCTCCAGAAGTGCCTGGTGATTATAGACCAATTAGTATCCGTCCAGTGTTATCAAAAGTATTAGAGAAAATTGTATATGAGCAATTGATGTAACACGTCACTACCTTCAAGATAATTCTGTCTACGCAGTTAGGCTCTTGAAAAAACCACAGCATCGTAATAACTCTGCTCGATGTTTGTGACGACTTCGTAAGGGCAATACATAATATTCTAAAGTTACTACTGCTGCCATGGTGGATCTAAGGAAATCATTTGATTGCCTTAACTGCGAACTACTTTTTTCAAAATTTCATTATTTTGGTTTCTACGATAGTTCGACTAAATGGTTTCGCAGTTATTTTCATGAACGCGTTCAGAAGGTAAAAACTGGTGGCAACTATCAGAGGAGGGTACTACCTCAAGAGTATATTCTTGAACCTATTCTGTTTTCCTATATGTAGCGGACTTAGATCCAGTTACTAAATACTGCAAACTACATACCTACGCCGATGATTCACAGATTTACTTATCTTATATCCCTGCTATGTACACCACCGCGAATGAGATGCTGTCTGAGAATTTAAATATTATACGTATTTGGTATAACAAACATGCCTTATGTATTAACCCTCGAAAGTCAGCTATCTTAACTATTGAATCAAAATTCCGCAAATTCAATAATAACTCAATAAAGCTGTGTATTGGAGATGATAAGCTTTGCCGCAAGACATCGGTTCGCAACTTGAGCACCACATTTGATGATGAAAGTTGAAATCAATTTATAGCTATAAAAATGTATTGTCCAAGCAGAATAAGGTTAAGTGCGTGACCTCCTTATCGTCAGTAAACTTGAATACGGGAACCTTGTCTATGGTCCATGTCTAATACAAAGCGAGGCATACAGACTCCAAAAAGTGCAAAACAGCTGCATAAGATTCATTTCAAAGGCAGGAGAGGGTATCTGAAAAAATTAAAAATATTCAATAGATTATGTGACAAAGGTGGATTCTGCATCTATTATCATTGATCCACAGTATTTTTATGAATAAAATGCCTATTTATTTGAAAAATAAGCTTTACATGTATTTTCATGTAATTTTATTATTATATTTGTTTGTGCATGTTTCCTCACTTGCCTCTTTTCATTTGTTTGCGTTTTGTTTACGAGTCTGTGTGCTGTTTGCTCTTAATTTTTATTAGTTATTTCTAAGCATGGTTTTTGATTCTGATAGGCACCCTCTTGATGCACGTTTCTCTTTGGTCATTATTCCATGCATAGGCTACGACTCTGTAAAAAAATGTTCCTGCTTTAAATGTTCTTATTATCTTCTCGTTGTATTTTTCTTTACCTGTATATACTTGTATTTTTTGCCTTGGTTGTTTCTGAAAAACAGCGTTTGCTGATGTCACCCGCCAGGTAAAATAAATGCCATTTATTATTATTATTAAGATGTCTGCATCAGTTTATATATGGCAGATACAATATGTGTTCAGAAAGCAGTTACATCGTCGAAGCTTCTACTTACTCCAAAATGTTTCTATCAGTTACATAGAATAGTACTTTCTGTTTTCATATTCTTTAAATACAACCCTTGAATAATACACGTATATGAAAGTTTCAGCATTTAGTTGTTCTGTATGAGTTAAGATCACTGCCAGTGTAGACATGTCATATATTTTTAAAATCACCTGTATAAAAATTCAATATGGCGTCTATAAGAAAAAATGAAGTTGTGATTGTCGATAAGAGACGAAACGTTATATTGAAATTGCAATTATGGCATCTCGTAGGAGAGAAAGAGTGGCAATGTTAATTTGCTTTTCTTTTTGAAGCTTCATATCAAATAAGAAACTAGAAACGATTTTAGAAAATTCGGTTCGCTTCGTCCCCGGAAGTACTCGGAACTGCTTTTTAAGTGCCATTCTCTTAGTTGCCTGAATGCGCAACTTTGGCTCCATTTAACCGACTTCGTATCGGCACTGCGGTGTTTCCTTCTGACTATAGTATGAAACTTAGCTTTGGGCAAATGTAACATCAGATCTGATCCACAGCACATAGCTCAAGGAACTTGACATACAGGCGACCCACTCAGCTACTGAAAGTCAATATGAAGCGGTGGTACCTAGTTCCAGTGTGACAATTCTGTCCAACAGATCGCTATCCCGGTCATTTTGCAGTTGCGTAATAAGAGTACCGATTTGTACCATTACGAATAATAATATATCCTTTGGGTTCAAAAGCGACTAGAGTTTCATTTAACTTTACGAAACTCAGAATATACTTTCTGGGAGCTGAGTATAAATATTTCATAGAGTTACCATTAAAAAGCTTCGTCTCAACGTGAAACTCTTAATCTGTCAACCAAAACACGAAAACAGAATCGCTTAACATACGACGAATTCCGCAAGCTGCCTTGCAAACGATTTAATTAGTGAAATTTTGTTCTATTTCTTCCATGCATTCAATGAGTGATTCTCTGTTCTCAAACACTACATCTATTGTTCGAATATTATAATTCCAACGAGTTATTGCTCTTTGGGGAATTTTTCCCCACAATTCTGTTCAGTACCTCTACGCGATGAGGGGAAATATTAAAACATCCCGGAATATCTTTCAAAGCCCCAAAGAACACCCTAACTTGAGCATTTGCGGAAGCAGCTTGGGACATAATCAGGTTTAACTGATGCGCATAGAATGCACATAGTGAGCAAATGAATATCTTTGTTGAATTTTTGCCCGTACTCTAGCATTATGTCCGCTCATTACCGCGGCTCCATCATAGCTTTGTGAAATCAGTTTTTTAGGTAAATTTGCTGTTAATGGATCTACGACGCCCAAAATATGTCTTGTGAGAGTATCAGCGTCACATTTTTCGGGATTCATATAATTCCTAAAACGTTCTACTGGTTCGCCGTTAAATACGTATCTGAAAATTGGTTTTCCCCGAAATGTCCGTTGTTTCATCTGTCATTATCGCCAAATCGAAGCTCTGTTAATCTGTTTTACTATTTCTACATGACAAACTTCAAGAATATAATTCAGTAGATCGTTTTGTATTTCTTTCGAAGTTCCTTTAAATATTGAAGCATTTTTTATGTGTTCGCTTAAGGTTGCATCAAACTCAGCAGAAAAATTAATCAGTCCACGAAATAATTCCGGGTTTTGGGAGCTCTCGGTTTCGTCGTGGCCCCGTAGCGCCAATTAAAATGCTCCCCAAAAATTTATACAATCGATTATTTTTGATAGAACGTACCTGTTTTTGTAACGGTATCATTATGCTGTTGTGTATTTCTCCAATATGCTGAATATAACTGAGCTCTGATGTTAACAGTCCCCAATAATGCCAATTCCATCCAATTATGAAGATGGGTTTTAGAGTTTTCATGCTTCTTAATTTTTTCTCTCAGGTGCACTAAATCTGTAAGATTTACCTCCATCCAAGCTTTGTCACCGCCGAAAAGTATGCAAGGAAATCAGAAAAGGGCATTCTTCCTGTTGTACCCACAAATCCAGTCATTTCTGGTGTAAATATCCGTGCTGAAATACCGCGTATAGCCCTTGCCCCGACTAACGCTCTGTGTTTCTATAAATATTTCCGGCAGCGGTCGACCTGACACCTTCAGCTCAATTTTTTCTTCAAATGTGTATTTCCAGAATCGTTTCATGCTGATACGTCTGTAAACCACATCCATTGTCTTGTACTACACTTCTACACAGCCACAGTCAGTCAGTGAGTCACTAGTCACTCAACGTAAGACCCAAAATACCTAAACTGCAGCACATGCTTATGCTTAAATCGCGCATTTGATTTTGTAGAGAGAGACAAAAACAAGCGCGTGCGGCTTGTGTCGAAGTAATGCACAGACCCTTTTCAAGTGGCCCATGAATAATGTTACGCTGCGGTCGCGACGAAAATGAAAAGTACACAATTGGTCGATTATAATGCTATCTCAGTACAAAACAGACTCGACGCCGTGTCTTGCGGGGGCAGGCCGTTACTGTTTCTATTTGTGTGATAACATGGAAAATAAAAAATGACCAAATTACTACTGCCTTTTTCTGTTAAGACAATAGTTTTGGCAGTTTTGCAACTCTGCAGAACTTAAGGGCCAGCCGCCCCTGAACGTCAGTCTTGTCAGATTATCTTCATTGTCTTTTTTGCAATTTCAGAAAGTAGAATAATAGTTGACATTGATTTGATTTGATGGTCAGTATGAAACATATTGGAGAAATTTATTGTATAGTAAGTGACACCTGGACCTGTTCAGTTCCTGACAGATGAACTTGCAATTTGAATCGACCCCTCCTTTCTTCAAAAACTACCTCTGATGATATATTACAAAGACAAAATAGTTGAGATGCATACAATGCTTATGTATAAACCTGGATGCAGGATAATCTCATAGTGGTAGCACGTATTCGTAATTCCGTCAAAATTTTAATTTTTCTATTCCACCTTTGTTATGAATAAAATTCTTTTTCAGATATGATAGATATCCTGAGAGAGACGGATACTTGCCACCAAGAAGTAGATATGGAGGTGGTAGGGACCGATACGATGACAAATATTATGACAGATACGGTGGCGGAGGCAGAGGTGGTGATGCATATGATAGATATGGCGATTATGATAGATACGAACCTTCAGAGCGGTACGATCGCTATGACAGGTAAGAACATAAAATCCTCAAGATCAGGATTTGTCTATTAGTCCAATCATATCAGCAAATTTCTCCGAAATAATTGTAAAGTCTGGTTTTATTGGTGCAAGTTGTTCAAGGGGGTATTTAAAACTTTGACGCATAAAATGAGTACACCAATTTTTGTGGGAAAACTTTTTATTCGACAACAAAAAACGAGAAAACGTGCTTTTTCGGATTCAATCGAAAGTGTTGACAGTTATTTCGCTAACAGGGGTATTTTTGTTTAATATGATTAGAGTAAATCGTGCTAACTTGGAGCCTACACATCATTAATATGATGAACTGGAAATGTCTGACTTTCAAGCGACAGTCCAAAAAACTGAGGGAGAAACTTTTCACTCTTGGAACTCGACGCAACTATCAAAACGCTTTTACCACTTAGGTACGGTAACATGTGATGACGTACCTCAAACTGCTAGCTAACCATATTACAGTCTTCGTGTACCAGTTATCTTTCATTCTTACGACCAATGAGTAGCAGAATCTTTGTAGTAATCTACTAGCTTGCGAATATTATCGATTCTCATTCGATTTTCATAGATCTCTTCTGATTGCGCAGTAGTGCAAGGGATGTCATCTTTGTTAATCTAGATATAAGCTTTATCGCTTCCAGCACCAGCGATCTGCGAGGGTCCTTCTAGCTTACGTCACGCAACTGTGGAGTAAACTCATCCAGACTTATGGTGAGAAGAATGCAAACTTCCATCCTATGACACCCCAGAGAAGCTTTGCAGATGGTTAACTGACATTTTCTCTGGCCGCAGGATATCCGTCGTAATTGACGGGTTCTCATCTTCATCCCACAATGTCAATGCGGGTGTTCCATAGGGATTGGTTTTGGCTCTTGTTCCTCTCACACAACAATGACCTCACCCTTAACGAAAGTACTGGCATCTTGCTTTTGGACGTCACAAAAGCATTTTGCAAGGTGTGGCACGCGGGCCTCCTGTGTAAACTAATCCAAAAGGGCTTTCCTCTTTGGCTTCTAAAATTACTGAAATCCTTCCTTGAAGGTAGGAAATTTCGGATCAAAGTTAACAATGTCCTGTCGACAACACGGCTGATTACAGCCAGCGTCCCTTAGGATACGGTCCTTGGACCTATCCTTTACTCACTGTACATCCATGACGTACCTAGCCCCATCAACTTTGAAGTCTATCTCTATGCTGATGACAGGCTGCAAAGTGCGGTGGAGGAAGTATTAGATTGGGCGATCCGGTGGCTAATCTACTGTACAAAAGTTTCAATGAATGGACTTCGAATACCATGGGAATCCTCCGCTAAGTATCTCGGTGTAATTCTGGACAAAGGGATGACTTGACGAAACCATATAGAAGCGCTAAAAACTAAATTCCAAATTACGTTTCGACAGCTTTACCGATTATTATGTAAACGTTCAAAATTAAGTTTGATTAACAAGATTTGACTCTCTAAGGTGGTCATAAGACCAGCAATGACTTACGCATGTGCGGCTTGGCGTTTGATTGCTAAAACACACAGGCGAAATCTGCAGGTTCTGCAAAGCAGGACGTTGCGCACTCTTGCTGACGCCCCATGGTATAACTCTAACGAAACTCTACATAGAGACCTCGATGTCCCTTCCCTAAAGGACTACATTAGGCAACAGGCGCAGCGGCGCTATAGCCTAGCGGAATCGCACAGCAACCGTCTGTTGCGTGAGTCAGTGGACTACACAGTCAAACAAGTTCGCAAGCACAAAAGGTCGCGGCTCGCACTGTAATCAAAATTAATTCGTGAACTTAGAACAACAAAAATTGGAGCATTTTGATAAAATCTTTAGAAGAAAATCGAATATTTTTAGACCATATCAAAATCTGTGAAGTAATTTTAACAATGCCTAAACGCTGCTTATCCTAAAAGATTCTTTTCTTTCCCTTTGCTCTCGTTCTTCTTTCTCTCCTTTCTTTCCCTTTTTTCCTTAAAATTGTCTGGTTTCTGGGTTACCAGACCTGACAGACTTACAAACTGACACTGTGACTCAAGAGTTAAGGTATCACGGACCGCTCTGACAACTAACGATGACTTGACATCAATGACCTTCTTTTCTGTACGATCAATCCGAGCCACAGCGTTGCTGCTGGCAGCAGTCTACGTTCAGGGAGTGACAAGCTGATCTCTGCCGGTGAGCTGGAGAAAAGAAGACTGGCAGCGACTTCCTCACTGACGAAAGGCCTGCTTGGGGACGCAGAATCCGATACAGTTTAATGCTTCCAAATCACAGCCCTGTATTTTACACCACCGTTGAATCGGTTTCGATGGATGACCGAGTTCTAACAAAGAGTCGTTCATTTCGTCTGGTTAGAGTCCAGATCACAGAGGACTAGATCTGGCATGCACATCTCGTCAATAGCGTCCGCTGCTGGAAAAAAGCTAGGCTATTTGTTCAAGGATAAGAAGTACCTTTCTCCACATGACTTCACCCTATACAAGGCCCAGATAGGATCTAGCCTCGAGTACTGCTCCCATATTTGGAATGCTGTTGCTGTGACTACATTGGAAATACTTAAAGCCGTTGAGAGGAAGGCTGTCCGATGGATCGATGACACTTCTCTAACGGATCGTCTCGGGACCCTTTCTCACCAACGGACCGTCGGTGATCTAGCTATCTGCTACCACTATGCCAATGAGCCTCCAGTTCTACTAAGCTTAGGCAGTTCAAAAATCGGATTGACAAAGTTTCTTTAAGCTCATAGCAGCTGCGGTACCTTGGTGCTTAGGCTCTTCCCTGAGCGGCTGCTTCTGTATATAAAAAAATGGTGATAAATCCCGTTTAATAATATGATGAGGCAAGGGCAAGGGCAAAATGGGTACAGTGTATCCATATCTTACTTTTGCTATTATTCAAATGCTACAGGTGGTAGATAAGAAAACAAACCAAGGATCTCTGTCGGGAGAAGCAACAAAACTAAATTTATTCACGCAAAATTGTGACTGGACAAAAACAAATCACTGCAATATATGGTAATGGTGCTGACACGAATGTTCAGAATTTGTTAGCAATACGACGTTTGTTAAAAAATTATCGCAAATTTTGAATTGTCGCAGGTTACGTATGTTCGATTTTCGATTTTTTTGTGGCGCTATTTTCTTACTTATGACCCAAACTAATGTTGACAATATCGGCCATTTTGAATGTGCTTGTCTCCGATTTTGGTCTATTCCAAAAAATGGATCAAAGGATTTGTATTAAATTTTGTGTAAAAAACAAAAACAACTTGAAGTGCGCGGACATATTCCAAATGTTGACTGTAGCATAGTGCGAAGCTACTTTGGACAAAAGCAACGTTTGTCGGTGGTACAAAATGTTCTCAGAGGGCCGAGAAGATATGAGCGACGAAAAGCGTTCCGAACGCCGCAACACGTCAACAACAGACGAAAACATCGACGAGTTCTTGCCGCAGAGTAGAACGGTCAATAAGGACTATTACCTTCAAGTAATCCGCAATTTGCGAGAAGCAATCCGCCAGAAACGCCCCGATTTGTGGAAGAACAAAAATTGGCTTTTGCACCATGATCACGCCCCTGCTCATGCATCGTTACTTGTGCGCGAATTTTTGGCCAGAGACAACAGTCTCACCCACCGTATTCCCGAGACCTGGCCCCATGTGACTTTTTTTTGTTCCCGAAACTGAAGAGGCCCATGAAAGGACGACGCTACGGCATGATTGAGGAGATACAGACGGCATCGAAGGAGGAGCTAAACAAGATAAAAAAAAACGATTTTTCAAAATGCTTCGAAGATTGGAAAAAACGTTATCACAAGTGTATAATGTCTGAATATATAAATAATTCTTGAACAAACATGAAATTTGCGATACTTTTTGAACAAACCTCGTATGGTTGTTTTATAGTCCGTTTTTGTATAAAATCGAGCTTCGAACTTTGTAAGATGTCTGTATCTGCTTTACCAAAGGTTCAGGTAAAATATATAATCATCATTGGTTTTTTTTGTAATTTATGTACTGAATAGCTGTAACCACCGAAGATGGAAAACCTAGTCTATATTCGCGTGTTCGAAGAATCATCCGAGATGGAATGATATCGTCATCTAAGACAACTTCTTACAGCCATGTTTGTCTTTTCAAAGTATACTTCCCATTATTGCGAAGTGGAGAAACATGGCTGTGACATATTCTCATGGATGACGCTATTTCTATTTTATTTTCAGATAGAATACTTCAATCCATTCTACCACTTACAAATAATTGTGGTCAACTTTTTGGAGTCGAATAAACATATAATCAACTCAGCTCTCTACCTATATATGAATTAACATTCATGTAATAATAGCAGAATGCCTATGGTGCTGCTCACTTTCCCACAAATGCACGCAGCGGCCCGTTTTATGAGACACCCAGCGTAACCGTCCGTGGCAGAACCGCAGTGGGTGCTCGCCTTCATGATCTCACTCAATCGAAAAATCAGTAACCATCGCATCTATATTCCAGGTATCCAGAAAGGGGAGTAGGCTACGATAATCGCGGTTACGACTACAGAGAAACTGGTGTGGGTGGGTACAGGCCCTTAGACGAGACCTATAGAGGCAGCTCTGGGTTTGACGGCGCCGGGCGAGGGTACTATTTTGCTGCCGGTGTCGGCAGACCTGATTATGGTACCTCTGGTGCTGGTGGATATGGCAGGGGGTACGCCAATGGATGGGACTATGGAGAAACTGGCGGCGGCAGAGATGATTATTATAGGGACAGGGATAGAGGCAGAGGGTGAGTTATCTACTGTCGTTGATTAACATAACCTACCTGAAGATTGCTAACCTAAAGCTACATTCCCGCGTCCAAAAAATTATCACAGGTAAAATGTAATACCGTACCGTGGTCTTTAAAAATTTGTTTCATCTGTTACGTTTGAAGCAGCTATTCAAAGACGTCTATGAGATTTGTCCTCTTCTCTTTATCCCACTTCTGATTTAGGACAAAATCCTGGACAAAAAGTTAAAATAAGTAAATTCATGAAGCTAGGTAAGATATTTTTCATTTTACTGGTGGCTCCATATTGCTGTGTTCCACTTCAAGCTTAAGCTTGCTAAAACAGGTGTTCACAGAATAGAAACCTACAAACGAAACAACAAGGGAGCCAAAGGAAGAAATGCTTTTCTATGCACTCATTCACGTATGGTGCAGCTACCCAAAGAAGTCGGTGAGCTTTGTCTCCTTGTTTATCCCACTTCTGATGTGGACGTGTGTATACGCTGCTGCGGTTGCTTTCATCTGTAATATATTGTTTCGTGTAGCAGCGCTCTGATCTGGAGAGCTTATTTATTATTTAAAAGACTATCCGACAACGAGGATGTGGTGTCTAGTGTGGATAGCCTTATATACATAAGCAGCCACGAAAGGGGAGTCTGAATGGGTAGTATCATAAAGCAAATAAAAACGTTTTAAGAAAGTACGAATTTGCAACGAAATACAACAACAAAATACCCTGTCTACAGATCTAAGGTTGACAGATCCGTAAGAATTGTATGATATGAGTTATTTTCAAACGTTACTAGATAATGAACCTCTAGTTGTTCACGTTTCACGTGACAGATACTAGTGAAAAGGTGTATACTCGCTGCGATCACTTGCGTGTGATACATCACGCTACTATCCCAATTTTTAAACTTGACTGTACCTTGTTCCTAACAAAAGCTTAACACTCAAATGCTTGATTACATTATTTTGATAAATAACATGATCTCAAGCTAAAGAGACTAATGTTTGGAAGACTTCTGTTGAGTGAGGGATCCTTTTTCTTCAAGTTGCGTACGTTTTATGTCAGTGGTCGCCAACCTTTTCAGTGTGTTGAGCTACTTTGATAATTTTGGAGTAAACAGTCAGCTACCTAGTCATAAGCAATGTGAGCCAGCTTAAATGAAATTATACACAGTTACAGATACACATACTAATAAAGATAAACTAATAATTATACGAACTATATACGTACATCCATTCCAATCGTGGTGTTTGAAAAATAAACAAATTTTTCGTCAGCTACAATGGCATGTCACATACGATTTAATTAAGGTAACTAAAAATAAAAAAAAGCAACGCACTATTTCAAACAAAAACATTTCCAGATAAAAAATGCCTGTTCAATGGAAAGCCTAACACACAGACTCAATGACAATTTGTTTAATGTTCATCTGTAATTCGATTACGGTATTTGTTTTAATAAACTTCATATTTGAAAAACAAGATTCACACAACTAGGTTGAACTAAATAACGCTTTCATTTTCATGGTAACACGACATAAAACTGCATATTTATATATCACTGAAGGTCAGATACATTTTGTATTTGAGACTAATGATTTTAAAGCTAAATCATTTTGAAACGCGATGTCTTCGCTAAAATTCTGCGTAACAGAAGTTGCAAACTCTTCGATATCAATTTCCATGACGGGTGAATCAACAAACTGCGCGACTGTAGCAATTTCGTTGAAATCCCTGAAACGATTTTTGATGTTATCCTTCAGGTTAGAGACTATTTCTACCTGATATCTACTGTCATATGGTTCTAATAGACTTTGAGATATCTTTTCTGAAAGAACAGGAAAATGCCTGGTATCGCCATCGATTTATTCCCAAAACTCAAGCTTATCAAGGATCATTTCTGCTAGTTCTTTGTCTCTCCCCTGAAGCTGCAAATTGAGTTCATTTAATTTTCCTGTAATATCCACAAGAAAACCCAAATCTTTAACCAAGATTGAATTTTCCAGTTCCGAAATCGGTTCATCACGTTGTTTGAAAAATTGAATTTCTTTGCAACACTTGAGCTATAGTCTTGTTCACAATTTTTCCTACCAATTTTATAACGTTGCTTAGTTTTAGAAAATGTCCACATAATGCTTGCTGATGGATCATGCAGTGGTAACAGAGAAAACTTTTATTTTTACGACATAACCCCACGAGACCTTTATAACGACCCACCACAACTGGAGATCCATTGGTTGTCAAGCCTACCATCTTCGATATTGGAATTTTCTCAGAAGAAATAATATTTTTAAAAGAAGAAAACAAGTGCTTCCTAGTAGTCTGTCCTTTTAGTGGAATAAACTTTAAGAAACCTTCGTTAATCGTAAAATCACTAAGAACTATCATGATGAACACTGCCTCCGCGCCTTGCGTATTTATTCCGTTCAAAGCAATCGAGATCGTTCTCGAACAGATCGCTCACCACAGTGTTATCCCTGCTTGTGTTTATTATGAGAATCTACAAAACTTACGGAAGCTTCTAAGAATTCTAAAACTGGTTTAAAATATGTTGTGAGCCACCAGAATTGCTCTTTGCGAGCTACCGGTAGCTCGCGATCGACGGGCTGGCGACCACTGTTTTATGTGATTAATCTAACCAAAAAATAGTATATAACAGTTTATTGCTACTTATGTTGTGTCTCTGAAATTGTGGAGCAAAGTATCACTGTGCAACGTTTGGTAAAATTTTGTGTCGTGTTCCACAGGCCATGTCAGGATCCCTGTTGTGATGTGTACAGAAGATTCTATGAACGAAATAATAGCAGGTGCAAGCATCTGTAAGTATATTTATTTTCGAGCTGCTAACTGTGCTGGGAAGGTGACCTGAAAGGGCAAGTGTGTTGGATTTCTTCGCCAAGTTAACGTCTAACCCATGTCGCTTAGGGATATTTATCTTCAACGAATACATAAAAATGGTTAACCCGGATTTGGCTTGTTGGGCATTCTACAACACGTTTTAATTTATTGGTTTTCCAATCAAGTTTTGCACTATACAGCTTCTTAATAATTTCTATATTTACGACTAATTTCATGTTTCGTCTATTCATCGATCATTACCACCAAATGGTGTCCTCACTATTATGGGCAAGGTGACCTATATCATACTGATGATAACAAGGATAAAACGGCACCGTGTACGGTAGGTTACACAGACGGAAAGCAAGTACCTTCAACATGTCAATGATTTCTCATCGCGGAAACAGACTAATTAATCCACATTCTTAAAAATAGTCTAGAAGTCATCCTCGCATCTGCTCCATTTTTAATTCAGTCTTTTGCATAATTTGATTAAAAAAGGGGATATAGTCTTTTGGAATTTTGGTAAGGGATGTTTGAAGAAGATGTAGGATCTTTGGCAACATCGAAGTCTTCGTTCTTAAATTTTGTTTTTGAAACAAAATCTCTAAAACTAACAACTTTATAAAAAAGTCAATCAAAAATGTTTAGGGCAAAAAAACGTTTTTCGGAATGTGCTTAAATAATATTCTTTACAAAATTTTTTACGCAACTTTAGGCATGGCAACATGCAGATCTGTTAAGAGCGCTCTTTTTAGATAATCTAATGCAGACAAGCTGAATCGGAATATTTTCCGAGCAGATGCGAAGATACTTCCTGAACTAAAACACCAGCTTTGCTAACAAACTGCATTATCGATCATTTTAATACTATCACCAATCACAATGCACGTTTTTTTCGGCGATGTGAGCCGGAAATTTTTTAGGTAATTGCCAATTATGTACAATACACGTCTGTCCGTACTGTCCTTATTTTTGCCGGAGCTCATTCATCTTTATGCGCCCTCTAAATTAGTAGGGAAATATAATGATGGAGAATCAGGATTCTGCAGTAATCCAGGATCTTCTGTGCCGAAAAATGTCATTTTATGTTAACGAGTGCAAATTCAGTACTTTCAATAAAATGACAAGTCGACCTCGACATTATTAGTCAAAAGTTCTTCTGCGACACATTCTCAACTAGCAAAGTCTAAAACTTAGAAACCAGAAAATTAAATGTACAAAAAAAATACTCTCAATGTAACTTCCTCTTGCTTATGTCTAACTGTATACAAAATTCGTTCAAACCAAATCATTTTTGTGGATATTTAACTACCTTTTTCTACACCGAAGCAGTCGCACGCCGATTAAGATCCGCCTAAGGTCGGTAGAACTGAGAAAAGCCTTCTAATGTAGATTGTTCCACAACCTAGATACCCTAGGGACAAAGGAGCGATCGTATCGGCCAGTTCTGGATGTACTAATAATAATAATCGACTTTATTGGAAATATGCTATACAGATAGACATATGATCCAAAAGGCGGAGTTCACAAATATAGTGTTCTTCCACTCAACCCCGAAAATTGACAAAAGAAAAAAGAAAATGAAAAAGAAAATGCTTTTGTACAAAAAAAAAAGTTCGACACGGTCAGGATGGGGGGACAAAGTCAGTCGGATCTATCTGGCAGGCACATCGCCCGGTGGCATCGTGGAGGAGAGCTCTGAGGGGCAAAGCCCATTGGCGTAGGGGTAGAAGCGGGCTAGATCGCCGACGGCCCGCCTGTACAAAGGAGTCGCGAGACTGTCCATTGGAGAAGAGTCCTGGATCAGTATGAAAGCTCTCCTCTAACAGCATCGAGCACGGATGGTGTAGTTGGGGCGGCAGCACCCCAAACATGTGAGCAGTTTCGAGTCTAGGTCTTACGCAGACTGAGGTCATATGGAGAAAAGCACTTCTTAGTACTGACTATATTTTCCTTAAAAAAATTAAATATTGTTAGCCACTATCTGTACACATTATCCACCTGCATGTTCGCGAATGCCTCTTATACTTTTCCGCAACATTTAATACAGTTTGAATTTGTTTGATACTGCTGGGAACAGACATGTCAAA